GTACAAAAAATGACTGAAGGCTGAAAGGTGGTTTCAGTGCAGTTAATATAATCTTTTTTTTTTCTATGGATGTTTCTGGTTGGACTATGAACAGAAAACTATCAAGTTCCTGAAAGGCATCTTGCGTAACTTAGCCTGAATCTAAGAATTTTTTTTCCCACGAAGTTCGGGCTTATTGCCTAGTTAAACCATTGTCAAAACTTCATATAAGCATCTTCAATATAGCTAACATTACTGAGAGCTGAGCAACACTACCTGCAAGTCATTGTGGTATACAAATACTCTCAAAAAAGTGAAATATTTCCATGTGAAATATGCTGCATATTTATCTTGTAATAATGAGTAAAAAATAAAGGAAGCTTAGAAATCTATTGCTTTGCAACTAATTTTTCACATATGGTAACAGCTGCCAATGTCTTACAGTGACATTTTTTAGTTTTTACATGCTAAGAAGGCAAGGAATGCAAAGGGACAACGTTACTTCTAACAGTCTCTAAAGAAACCAGAGATGCTCTCAACTGAGTAATTGTGGTACAGAAGCTAAGAAGATGTAACCTCTATTTCAAGTTAATCTGATTTTAAGGAAACCTGAACTGCAAGAGTTCAGTTCAAGTGCCTATGCACCAATGATTTATGTAAAGAACCTGGTTCTCATAAAGTAGCCTAAATCTGATTTCAAATAAATTCAAAATGTCTCAGTATCAGTGATGTAAATTCTTCATGCCTCATAAAATCAAGATTGTACACCCTGTATGCACGCCACAGATAAAATTATTTTCCTGGTTTTAACATTTTTTCTACTTTTATATCTTTGGAGGCAACAACAGCAGATCTCCTTCAAGAGGCACAGCTGACATAAGACCTCCATTGCCAATTCCTAGCAGACAGACTGTTCACCAAACGAATGTGGAGGAAGATGAGGTACAAAACATTACAAGTATTAACCATAACTGCTAAACACAGCAAATTTTCTGATTTCAAGAGAGAACGTTTTTCAAAGTTGTTTTTCTGGTTAGTAGTCACTGTCAGGATGTTAGTAGGTGCTTTCAGTTTCCTTTTCTGTGTCAAACTTTAGTGCCTTATTTTGTCTTCACCAAGAAAAACAATAGCAAAAACTCAGTAGAACAAAATAAGAAAAATACTTGCTGGATTACTTGTTTTGCACAACTGCCTTCAACTGGCATTACATATTCAGTTCTCCTTCCACAAAACTTTGGTGAGTAAAGAATTCATACCCTTTAAGTGCATTTTTGTTTCATATTTCTTTAAATATGACAAGTTTAGAGCAAACCACTCCTGGTGATAACGCTGCTGGGCAACCATACATGGTATGTTCACAGGAAGTCTGCATTATTGTCTCAGATGATAGTTAAAAAAGAAAAAATAAAATAAAATAATTTTTAAAAAACCCTAGAGAAATGAAGGCAAAGGATGCTAGTGTCCCAGGCAGACAAAAGAGAAAATGTCACTTAAAATCTATCTTTTACCGAAAATATTTGGAAATATCTGTTTTCTTAGCTTACTTGCAGACATATTATAGGTAGGTCTGTAATATTTTCAAATTTATCAAAGTGAGCAAATAATTTTAAAATCATTTAGTGCCACTTACCATACAGTAATATATACTAGTACAATCCCTGAAGTCCATACCTTCAGAGATTCTGCACATAAACCCAAATACCCCTCACATTCAAATTTCTCTCTACTTATTTGTATGTTGTTAACATCACAAGCTAATTCATTGACAGCTGACATTCTCTTTTATCCTCTCTCACAAAAAACATAGGACTCACTAAATGATGAATGGTACGTTGCTTATGTTAGCCGCCCAGAAGCAGAAGCAGCTCTTCGAAAAATAAACAAGGTACTCTTTAAATCGTTGGTGATTCTCACCATCTCCTAGCCAGATGTCCTTGCAGTCTTATGGGAAGAGTGAAGGTAAATAACATGGTAAGGTTATAGCCCCAATATAGATACTTAGAGTGAGGGATTCACCTTGAATATCTTTGCCCACATAAAAGTTACACATCTAGTCTAAACCAGCCATGAAGGCTATTGTTTTCCATAGTCCAAGAGAACAAATTATGTGTCTCCAGAAAGCAGTTCCACCTCGCCTCTCTTAGGAGGAGTGACTTGTTCTCTGTCACTGGTGAGGAATTCATTGCAAATTCCAAGTTTTATATAGCTTGAATTAGATGAGATGAATCCCATCCTTTTCTAGGCCATATTTACCAGCAAAATGAAGTACAGATTCAAACAGATGAAACCCAGGCTTAACTGTGCATGTGGAGATAAACCAAATTGTATCCCATCACTGTGGGAAATCTGTTTACTCTATGATGCTTCACAGCACATGCAATGAGCTGAAGAGGACACGTACAGCATTTCAATGACTTGTACTAAGGTCCAGCTTATGAGATCACATTCAATGCCTTTAAGAAAGGGTGTTTCAGTGGAAGACTTGTTAAAACAGATCTGAAATGAAGAAAAGCAGAGAAAGAGAGCAAGACAATATCACTGCCTTTACCAAAATTACACAGACACTATCATTATTTTAGGCTGTCAATAGATCACATAGGAACCTTAGGAATGAACTTCTCTTCCAGTTAAAGTGACGTGAGGTTTGGCCTTCGATATTTTACTTCCTCCTCTAATGGAATCTCTCCCCATAGAACACCATTCCTCCCTTCCCTAAAAATCTGCATTTGTATCAGACAGGAAAGTTTTAACTAGCAAATTGAAAGACAAAACATTTGAGAAATGACCTAAACTCTTCAATAGTTTCTCTTACCAGGAGGAAAGAGATTTCAAAAAAAAAACCACTTAAAAGCGTGAGTGCTCTAGCTAAGGTTGTTATGCTGATCAAACCCAGAAGTGACATTTATTTGCCATCTTTCATTTTTTCATCTTTCAGGATGGAACATTCTTGGTAAGAGACAGCTCAAGAAAAACTGCTACTCATCCATATGTACTGATGGTGTTGTACAGAGATAAAGTATACAACATCCAGATTCGTTACCAGGAGCAAAATCACATATATTTGTTAGGAACCGGCTTAAAAGGAAAAGAGGTACTATGTGTTTTTCACACTACTTCCCTTCATCTTAAGGTATCTCCTGTCTCATTCCTGTGTCAGGCTACTTAACCTGGCAGCTGTTTTACTCCAGTGGAATTCTGCTTATTGTCTTAAGTTATTCCTGGTAGAATATGTTACTGCTGGAAGTAAAATCAGATTCTCCTGTTTGCACTTAGGCAATAAAGGGATAGCCTTAGAATACAGCCTTTAGAAATCCATATACTTGGTTAGGGAATGTTTGTCTACCACTAAGATAACAGATAAGGGAAATATACAGTTGAGAACAAATCCGTATCTGCCAAATTTACTGCACTGCTCCCAGACTGCTGGTTTACTTACATCCAGCAGTACTGCATTGGATTTACTGGCACCAGGCAGACTGGTCAGCACGTGTACTGCAGTTCTGATTGAGTCAGAACCCTCTGAATTTATCAGCCAACTTTTTGAACTTTCAAGTGCGATCATCATGTCAAGCAGAATGACAAAATCATGTATTAAACAGGCCAAGACTGCATAAATTAATTATACAACATTGCAATAGGTTGTACACACACTAGATTAACAATTATTGCGCTACAGATTATGGCAGGAACGAAAACAGCTGATCTGATAGTATTTACTGGACCTTATAAGACTGCTAAGTATTTAGAGCTAAAAAAAAAAGTTTGGTTTTACTAATACTAATAACTGACATTTTTGCCATAGCCTTCTCATGTTTTCCATCCCACAGGATTTTTCTTCTGTAGCAGATATCATTGATTACTTCCAAAGAACACCTCTTCTTCTGATTGATGGAAAAGACAGAGGTTCAAGAAACCAGTGCATGTTAAAATACGCTGCAGGACATATGTAAATGAGACCATAATGAAGATCACATATAGTATCGAAGCACACTGAAGTTCGTAGACTTCAGGATATTTCCTTTTTTACCAAACTAAAATAATGAAGTAATTAAAAATCCTTTTCATTTTAAGGAAAAAAGAAAATGTTGGTTTTAAATTATACCTTAAATGCAGTACTCTACAATGTGTTTATTACTGTCCAGTAGTCGTAGAGTACCTGAGAATTTTTTATCTTCCAACATACATGTATCTTCTTGAAATGACTTCCACCCTAAATTAGAGGACCCAGAAATAAATACCAATACTAGTCTCTGCTTTCATAGGAGAAAAAAAAGTAAACTATTTTTCAGATCAGAACTGCAGCAGCAGTTATGTTATTTAATGTGATACAGAGTAGACCCAAACCTTGTCAAAGTTGAGGAGTAGACAAAAGACAATAAAAGCCCAATTTTTTCCCACAATCCACTTCCCAATAAATTTAACTACGGCCACTTCTATGAAAAGACTGGGACTCCGACCTGGATCTGAAAGACACCTAGGTTTCAGTGACACAAAAAAAACCCCCAACCCTGGATATGCAGCTGCCTGTCAAGATTCGTGTCTGTGTTATTCAGCTGTGAAACTGTCTTTGTTCACAGTTTTCTGGAAAAAATAAAATATCTATAGATATCATGTTCTCTCTGCCATACCACTGATGATTCACCAATGGCATGTCTTAGCCCACAAGCTGGAATTACGTATCTCCTAGCCTCTAGCCTCACTCAGAAACAAGCTCTTCTCCCTTAACACAGACCTCTCTCTAGCTGTGGCTTTCTGACTCTAAATTAAGCAACTGCTTTTTTACAGGAGACACCTCAACAAGATTATCATCATGTGATTCTTAATTGGCAGAACACACCTAAATCTCTTAGAAAGCAGACAGACACAATCAGGCTAAACTTAGTTCAGTTCCTCTTATACAACTGCTTTCCGTTTTTAACATTCTCAGTTCTAAAATATAAGTTGCAACTTAGGACCACTGGAGCATACTGTATCAAGAGTTTTTCCCTCTCCTTTGTTAAATGGGATTTATCCAACACTTTGCCTCAGTTTTCTAGAAACCTTTGTTTTCTGACAAGACCTTGGTTTGATAATTATGTTAGACTTTGTCACACTTTTTCTCCTTTAAAGCCATTTGTATGTATATCACTTGAAACACTTGAACCAAAATTCAAGGCACAAAAATATCTTCCATGTAATCTGCATAGCTTCTCAGATAAGATAATCAGATTTTATAAACAGTTTTACTTTAAATATATATGTTTTGTAAATGTTATCTTTCTTTCTAAGATATTTAGCTAGGAGCTGGAATTCAAAGTTAGCGAATTTCATTTCCATGCAAATATGAGTCAAAAAAACCCCATGAAAAATAAAATTTTAAAAATTCTTCAGATGACAAAACCTGTTTCTAGCCCAATATTTTTTAAAAGCTCACTACTAATCTTGTGAAAGAAAAGTCAGTTATAAAGTATGTTTTTCAAAAAATGTTAAAATTAAGAACAGCATCCCCCATATCTCCACTGATTCTGTGAGCTGCAGGTTGTAATTCTATGCCATTGCACTGCCTTGAAATGTCTGACAACCCAGAAATACCTCCTATGGAATTGTGTTTTATTTGTTTTAAATCATCTCATTAGTGAAAGAGAAATAAAATGTAAACCAGCATAACAAATGATAATACTGCACATTTTTTTCAGCAGAGTAAATCTTGATTTGATTATTCAGATAAATATGTTTTGTGTATGAATAAAAACACACTGCAACATTCAAACATGTCCACAAGTAAGGTATGATTGAATATTAATGTAATGAACTACACAAAAACACTGGCTACTCAAATTTTGGGCCAAGCGGATTTCAGGATAGAGTATTTAGACCACTAACTCTTTCTTTCTTTTGTAGCTAGGTGCATTAGAAATTCAATACAGAAACTAGCACGAAAGTACTTTTGGTTTTCCAAAAGTAATGTGCTCTTTGGCCTGCTTCCTCAGCAACATTTTTAGAATGAGGAAGGCAGACCAAATGACAAGTTGCAGTTGCTCCTTTACTGACTGTTTCTTATCCCATTTTCTGGAGCACAACTGAGATAAGAGAGCGATGACTTGAAGTAATTTAAAATCTTTTGTTACTGTTCCAATATGTCTTTGCTTAAAAGGAGACAACCACATGTGAAAAACTTCGTGCCCAGTTTCCTGACCTTTCTAGTTAATTACATCAGTCTTTCCAGCCCTAGTGGGCTTAATTTGGGAAATTTGCGTTAAAAAAACCCCTCTCAAAATCAATAAGCTATTTATAGCATTTTTCTGCTCTACATTTTCAGTTTAAAATAAAAACAGCCTAAATGCAGGAAACCGTACTATCATTTTACATGCAAACTGAAGCAGTATTAATAGAAAACGATGCATGAAGATAGATGTTTTTACTTAATCTGTCAAACTCCAAGATTTTTCTTCAGCCTCTCTTAAATCTTTGGCCTTCATAGGATGGTTGAAATTCAAAATAAGGTCACAAAGCAGTAGCTGGCTTTCCACTGAAAGACAAAGGGCAGTGTATGATCATGGTGTTTATTGAATGGTAGATGCTAAATGAATGGCAATTTATATACAGCACTTTTTGAAGTGTTCATCTATCAATTCTTTCAAAAAATTTGAAGGATTGCCCTGTTTTGTTTACTTCAGGATGGTTAAATAAAGTTTGGTATTAGCATACTGGTAATATTTCTATTAGGAGACTATTACTGTTCCTGCAAAGGAATGACTTTGACTACCTAACAGATTTTTTCCATGGTTAGCTAACACGATTCCATTTCTATGTAACTACTGTTTCATTAATTTTTCAAAACAGAAGAGCAACTGTATTGTTTCATTAGATTAAAAAACAGTTGTATGACATAGAAAACCAAGCCATTCACAACTGCACACTTTTTAAAACGATGCCTTAAACATCTTCTTGTTTAGCTGGATGATGAACTCAGAATTACCATTTAGTTTCTTCAACTCACTGGACATTTTGTCAACATTTTTAATTGCAGCCTCAAGGTTAAACTGCGGATCAGAAGCAGCATTTTTGAACACCTGTATGAAATAGAAACAAAACATAACTGGCAGTGTACATATGACTCATAAAATCAGTAATCCAGCTAATCATAATCTTTATGAATTTTTTTTTTTGATTTTCTAAAATAATATTTTAACTAAAACTTCCCTCCACTTAGATATGGCAAATTGCAATTACTGAAGGCAACTACTAAACATTCAGGCTTTGGTTTTGTTTTCTGTTCCTTTTTTTTTTTTTTTTTACAAACAACTGCAATGAAATTAATAATATCTAAAATTTCCTCTCCTTACCAGCATTTTTTTCATTTTTGTTTTCGACCTTACTTTTCCTACAGAATCTAAATGAAAATTAATCGTCAAGTAATATTCAGTCAACCACAAGATGGAGCTACTGTGACATTAACATGTGTAAAAGAAATTAATATCACTATTAGCACTGAATATTAATGAATCTGCTAGTGCCTGCCCAGGAACATTTATGTCTGTATAGGTAATTATTTTATAATCAATAAATTTTTGCTTATTTTGGAGATCATATTCCCTCCTTTTAACATTTAATTTTAAAAAAAATCAAAATCTGGAGATGATTAAGACTAGAAACTGTTTGAAATTCAGTATAATTTGAATTTTTAAATTTATACTATACTCCTTTTAAGGATTTTTTTTTTCTTAGGAAAAATATTAAAGAAAATTGCACATATCATATTTTCTGGCCTAGTTATAAGCTCTCTATTTATCATTCAGAAATTCTAAAAATAAAATCTGGAAAAACTCTGGGTGATTCATAACTAATGCTCACTATGTAGAGCATCTCAGCACATTGAGAAATATGACAAAAAAAATTGAACATACATTTAACATAGATTCTTTGTCCAAGACTCTCTTCCTTTCAGATAGTGGCTTTGCATTGAGGTCATCAGCCAGGGCCAAAGATCCTAAAAGGACAAACCCCAAATTATTATGGAGTAATATATATTTTATATATATATGTATATATCTCATATCAAATAAATCAAACATTTGATAAATATAATGACTAGACCTTGTTTTCATTAGTGTTATTTGAAAGTAGAGTCTAAGGGGTTGAATAGTTTTAATTCCTCTTGAGGAAGAATAAAATCTTGGATTTTATTTATTTTACTTTCTTTTAGAGACAGTGTTTCAGATATTTTTTAGGAGTTAGACATAGAATTACTAATAGTGAATAAGCATATTTATAATAGTGATGAAGAATTCCTCAACAAAATTCTGTAATTTTTCTAATTGAAAACTTTATAAAAGATCTAAAAAGGCATTGCGATTAGTTTCTATCATCAGTTTATGGAAGGAGAATCTAAGGCACACATGCAAAAAAAAGTCAGTAACAGAGTGGAGATTAAATACCAGATCCCTCAGTTCTTTCTTCGCCCATTCTCTGTGCTCTTCTCTCCCTACATATTAGGACACCCTCGGGCAAGTTTAAGTGTATAACGTCATTGGAAAGCTGTTTCAACACTGAAAAGGGAAAAAAAAAAAGGGGTTATTTCACCCTGGTACTCTGTGTGTTCAGAAAGGGTGCAAAGAAATGAAAAAGACCCTGCTCTTAGCTAAAAGGGCAGACAGAAGAGCATGCCCCTCTTTTATTCCCCTCAGGAATGGCCTGTAGTGAGAGCAAAGCCCTCTGTGGGGCAGGCGCGTGGGCTCAGCCCCAGGAGGCACCAGCTCTGATGTTCACACGGGCCACCATGAAGTGTGCGATACGGGAGCCCCACAAGGCTTGAGGATTCCCCTGTCACCAGAGGCTGTCCTGAACAAGCAGTAGTGCAGAAGGGGTGCCGCACAGGAAGGCCCAAGGACTGAAACAGAGCGATGGCAGCTACCTCACAGATTGGTCAGGCCATGGTGACAGCATTCTCCTGCTCTTGGGGGTGCTTCAT